GTATCCTTTGATGTGAACAAATTTTAAATTTTGATTGTCTAATACAGTTTTCTTTTGTTGCTTCTGCTTATGCTATCACATGTAAGAAACCATTGCCAGATCCAAGGTCATGAAGATTTCTGCTTATGTTTTCTTCTGTGAGTTTTATAGTTTTAGTTCTTATGATTTAGGTCTTTGATCTATTTTGAGTTAATTTTTATATATGGTGTGAGGAAAGGGTCCAACTTCACTCTTTTACATGTGAATATCTATTCTCCCAGCACCATTTGTTGAAGAGACTGTTCTTTCCCCATCAAATGGTCTTGGTACTCTTTTTGAAAATCAATTGGCTATAGATTTATGGGCTTATTTCTGGACCCTCAAGTCCATTCCACTCATCTATATCTCTGTCTTTATGGCAATACCACACTGTTTTGATTACTGCAGTTTTGTATTAAGTTTTGAAATCAGGACGTATGATTTAACTTTATTCTTTTTTTTTTTTTTTGCGGTATGCGGGTCTCTCACTGTTGTGGCCTCTCCCGCCGCAGAGCACAGGTTCCAGACGTGCAGGCCCAGCGGCCATGGCTCATGGGCCCAGCCGCTCCGTGGCACCTGGGATCCCCCCGGACCAGGGCACGAACCCGCGTCCCGTGCATCGGCAGGCGGACTCTCAACCGCTGCACCACAAAGGAATCCCTATCTTTATTCTTTTTCAGGATTTTTTTGGGGGCTATTTGGAGTCCTTTGCAATTTCATGTGAATTTTAGCATCAGCTTTTCCTTTTCTGCAAAAATACTGTTGAATTCGATAGGGATTGCATTGAATCTACAGATTGCTTTGGGGAGCATTGCCATCTTTACAATATTATGTCTTCCAATCCAACAACATGGTATATCTTTTCATTTATTTAAGTCCTCTTTAATTTCTTGCAGTAGTGTTCTGTAGTTTTTAGTGTATAAATCCTGCATCTCCTAAGTATTTTATTCTTTTTGTTGCTATTATAAATGGGATTTTAAAAAAAAGTTCCTTTTTTGATTGTTCATTCCCAGTGTATAGAAATACAACTGATTTTTGTGTATTGATCTTGCATCCTGCGTCTTTGCATATTTCATTTATTAGCGCTAATAGTTTTTTAGTAGATTCTTTAGGATTTTATATATAAAAGATCATGTCTTTGGTTCCTTTTATTGGAAAAGGGTATTTAGAAATCAAGATCTGAGTGCTAAGTGTGTTCATAGCTACTATGATATACTTGCTTCTAGGACCTCTTAGCAGATGGAGCTGGAAAATATATACTTAATACATATCTATACATAACTCTATTTCTCCATATTAAAAATCATGAGTTTGTACTGATACCTCCCATTTCAATCCTATTAATGTAACTGGAGCTGGGACTCTGCATGTTTCAAGCAGCAGCCTGCAGTGTCAGAGAAGCTCCAGAGCTGTAAGCAAGAGGTATACTGTGACCAGTTCTGTGGCTGGAGTAAGAAGTGGTGTGGGGAGGATTTTGAACTGGTGCACAAGATGGGTTTAATATACTTAGTTTCTGTAATAACTTTCTCTCTTTGTTTTCCTCTGGACACACTTTTCTCAAATTCCTTTTTGGATTTCCTCTGCCAATGCCTTAAATACTGAGTGATCCTCTGGGTTCTGCACCAAGCCCCCTCTTTGCCCTCTCAGCACATTTTCTAGACTAGCTCACTGCCTCTCATGTCTTTGAGTCCCCTTGGTAATAGCTCCAGTTCACGTCTTCTGTGCTTCAGACCAACTTATTCAACTACATACTAAACAGTTTCACTTGGATGTTCTGCTGGTGCTGGTATGTCAGAGTTGAAATGTCCTAAACTTGTTTATTATTGCCTATTTCACTCTCCTTCCCTGTTGCTTTCTTCCTTTTGCTCAAGGGTTTCCTAGTTGCCCAAACCAGATCTGGGCGTCTCCATGGATTCCTCCCTCTTCTTCACCCCCTACAGCAAAGTCTTCCTCTTTTTTTTTTAAATTAATTAATTAATTTTTATTTTTGGCTGTGCTGGGTCTTCGTTGCTGCACATGGGCTTTCTCTAGTTGCGGCGAGCGGGGGGCTACTCTCCGTTGTGGTGCATGGGCTTCTCACTGCGGTGGCTTCTCTTGCAGCAGAGCACAGGGTCTAGGCGCGCGGGCTTCAGTAGTTGTGGCGCATGGACTTAGTTGCTCTGCGGCATGTGGGATCTTCCTGGACCAGAGATTGAACCCGTGTCCCCTGCGTTGGCAGGTGGATTCTTAACCACTGCGCCACCAGGGAAGTCCCTAACAAAGTCTTCTTGATTCACTCTCTTAAGTATCTCAAATCTGTCCATTCATCTTCATCCTCAGAGCCACTGCCTTAAACCAGATATCCCTCGCTTGGACTTCAGCATGCTAATTGGCCTTCCCAGCCCATTCTTCGCCTTATAGCCATTAAGAAAATGGGTTCAGGGCTTTCCTGGTGGCACAGTGGTTGAGAGTCCACCTGCCGATGCAGGGGACACGGGTTCGTGCCCCGGTTCGGGAAGATCCCACATGCCGCAGAGCGGCTGGGCCCGTGAGCCATGGCCGCTGAGCCTGCGGGTCCGGAGCCTGTGCTCCGCAACAGGAGAGGCCACAGCAGTGAGAGGCCCGTGTACCACAAAAAAAAAAAAAAAAAAAAGGAAAGAAAGAAAATGGGTTCTAAGTTCTGGTCCTGGCTTTGCCACTTATTAGGTATATGAACTTAGGTTGCTTAATCCCTTTAAGGCTCAGTTTTCTCATCTGTAATATGGGGACAAGAATAGTGCTTATTTTATAGGGCAGTTGTGAGACGTAAATGAGGTGATACATGTAAAGTTCTTAGCATATGGGCTGATTCAGAGTAAATGGTCAATAAATGTTAGCTAATATAAGCATTCCAGGGTTCTTCATGTTCCAGCCTCTGCTCATTTCTGCAGTTTCTTTGATTGCTTCCTTCCACTCAGTTTTTCAGCTTTTCTGAACTTCTTTCAGTTGCTCCAATATCTCATTCTCTCTTTTTGCCTCCAGACCATTCCTCTGCTCTCTTTCCTAAAATTCTCTCCTCTCTCACTTTTCCCCTCTTATTCATCCTTCTGAATCTATACATCATTATCTCTGGGAAGTCTTGACTTGGTGTCACTTATCTGTGTTCCAGTTACACTCTTTAACTTCCCTTATCAAGGATCGTATCTCACTGCACTGGAGTTAACTTGGTTTCTCTGAGGGCAGGATCCCTGAGGGCAGGGACCAATTTACCTCGTTCACTATTGTCTCTCCAGTACCTAACACAGTGCTTGACTCACTGCGTGAAATGAATGAATGGACGACAAATGGGCCACAGCATCGCTATTTTCTGATCTCCTGCCTGGTAAACTCCTGGTGACAGCCCTGCAGGAGTGGGGAGGGCTGAAGGGGGAGCTCTCCTTATATGAGCCATTAGCGGTTGCTGCATTGTTGGCCCCCCAGATCTTAGCTGATCAGTGACTCCTAAGACTTCCTCTACACATGAATATCGGGCTACTTTTCCTGTCCTAACCTCCATCAACAACAGTTTGATGGCCTTTCTCTTCCCTGGGAAACATCCCTTGAAAGCATCACCCTATGGTGAAATCTGTTATCCCTAACTTTGAGATCACTGTGTTATATTTAGAACTATTAAATTGAATGTATATTCAATATTTGGCAGTTTCATATGGTTCATCCTATATGTGAATCTGAGAAGCTAATTGTACTGTAGTGCAAACTGTAAGTAGTTATAGACTGAAAGAGTGATGGAGTTGGGCAGGTCGCCCTGAGACAGCTGGAATTTGTGGTGCAAGAAGAATCAGTGAGATAGCACAGATAGCAAGAGACAGTAGACTAGGGCTTCCAGTCATTTTCTTTTGCTTAGAAGTAGAATTATTTGGTTCAGAAGTGCTTTCCCGGAAAGCCCACGGGGCAGGCCCAAAAGCCACTGTTCAGACCCCCAGGGCACTGGAGGAGAGTTCGGCTCCCTCTCAGTGGGAACCTGGTGGCCCCAACCTGCCTCACAGCCACAGGTCCAAGCGGCCCACACAAAACCGTCGGCACTGAGAGAAGGAAGCCGCTGGGGGGCAGCAAAGGCTCGTAGACTTCTCCGTACAGGGGCTATTCTTTCAAGTACTGTACTTTTTTTTTTTTAACGAATTGCTCTAATACTTGGAAATTTAACTGAGAGCGATTTTATAATCTGAACTAGACTGTACGAGTAGAGACCCCGTTTGTCATTTCCTTCCAGAAATATATTTTTTTCCTGCCAGAATTTACTACTCTCCCCCCGCGCCCCCCTTCCCCCGGTCATTTTCAAGAATCCCAGAGCTTTTTCTCACTCCAGGAAGGCCATGTCCAGGCCCCCTGAGTGAGGAGCTGGCGGGGCGGGATGGACAGTGGCAGAGTCGGATGCCCAGCGCGGATCCGGTCCCTGGGGAGCCGGACCAAGGGGGCACTGTGAGCTGGAGCGCCCCCGGGCCTCAGGAACCGCGGGCAGGGCTGACTTTGCAGCCGCTCAGCACCTCTGGCTACAAGGTGGACACACCGACCTGATGCCCTGGAAAACACCTTTAGAAAATGGCTTTTAGGGGAGCAGATTTGGCGAGAGGCACCAAACTATACCTTGCAGTGCCCGATCCCGTGGCAGTTTGTGTCACCACTGTGTCTCAGAACGAAAACAACACCCTAAGGTTTCGCGCCTTCCGGGAAGCGGCAGGGGAGACCCAACTTGGATTAAAAATAGGCGAATGGGGCCTTTGCGTGGCAGGTGCGGCGGGGCTGGGGGCGGCGCGCGGGGAGGGCGCCCGCAAAGCGCTCTCGCAGAGTTGGGCGGGGGTGCTCGCCGAGGTGACAGGAGGAAGCGGGAGGTGGAGGGTGGAGAGGAGGTCCCGCCCCCACCTCGCTCTCCTTTACGGGAAGTGATGTGGGGCCCGACGGAAAATACCCGCCGAGGACCCAAAAAAGGCCGTCAGCGGGTGGACGCGGCGCGCGCAGAAGGAGCGGCGTGGGGACCGCGGGCGAAGCAGGTGAGGCGGCTGGCGCGGGCGGGGGAGGCGCGCTCAGGCCCGGGGCTCCTGGAGGCTCCAGTCACCCCGCGGGGCTGAGCGACGGAGCGGGCGAGCGCAGGGTCTGGCCCTGGGGCGGGGGGTGGAGCTGCAGCTCCTTCTCTCCCCGCCTGTGGGCGGCTGAGCCCACCAGAAAAGCTGCTTTGCTTCTCCCAGGCCCTCAGCACAGACCCCACGATGACAGAGACGAGGTGCTGGTGCTGATTAGGTGGAGTCCCTGGTTGGGCGAGGTGGGCGAGGTGCTGATTAGGTGGAGTCCCAGGTTGGGACGGGGCTGAGGTCACCTCCGGGCGGCATCCAGGTGCGAGGCTCCCCATCTCGGGGTGGGAGGAAGGAAACTTCTCTGGCAGGAGAGGAGGAAGGTCCCAGACCTCCTGCACGCCCCCCCTCCGCCCCCCAATCCCCCGCCGTTCTTTCCTCCCTCCCTTTGTTGTCGGTTGAATGATTTAACATCTTGACACCTTTGCTGGTGAGGGTCTGGAAGGGCAAACTGCACGGGTGGGAGAGGTTTCTCTCTTTCCCTGCCAATCAGACAGAAAACCCTACCAGGCAGCCAGGCTCTCGGGTCTTGACTGGTGGTAGGGCTGGTGTGATGACTCGTTTGGTAACTATTGCCAAAGCTTTTGTCTCTGTCCCAGTAGATCACCGATTAAGCAAAGTCAGGCCTGAAGTGAAGGAAAGCTTGTGAGCCCTTGACTTCACCTTCCCAGCATTTCGGCTCCTGCGGGCCACATGACTTCCTAATCTCCTGCCAGGGGGTCCTCTTTCTTACCTCTATGGGCTAACAGCTATTTTTTCCTACTGGATGGATTATCACTTTTGGGTCAGCTCATCATTCAGATGTTGAGAAGGGGAGTAGTGTTTTGCTGTATAAATTTTCTATAATTATTGGTGATATAACTTGGTGCTTCACTGTTCTTGTTCCATTTATTTATTTATTTTAACCTTCTTAGAAACTTGCTTTAGGGGGAAAACACAGTCTGGAAAACAGAATTTCTGCAGATGGTTACAAATGAAGAAAGGTTAATGTAGTGCTGGAAAGACTTGACTGACCATCATTCTTTTCTATATTTTATGTTAGTTTTCATTCCTACTTTCTTCCTTTCCTTTATTCTTTCTTCCTTACTCCCTCACTTCCTTAACTTCCATGGCCTGCCTTGATTTTTAACTTTGATGAAGTACAATTAATTTATTTTTTCTTCTGTTTCTCTGCTTTTGGTGTCAAATCTAAAAAACCATTGCTAAATCCAAAGCCATGAAGATTTATGCCTATGTTTTCTTCAAAGAGTTGTATAGTTTTAGCTCTTACATTTCAATCTTTGACTCACTTTAAGTTAATTTTTCTATATGGTGTGTGGTACGGGGTCTAACTTAATTTTTTTGCATATGGACATCCAGTTCTCCCAGCACCATTTGTTGAAAAGATTATTTTTTCCCCTTTGAATGCTGTTGGTGCCTGTGTTGAAAATAAATTGACTGTAAATGTGAGGGTTTATTTCTAGACTCTCAGTTCTACTCCACTGATCTGTATGTCTATCCTTATGCTAGTATCATACTTGCCTCTTTATTAGCTATGTACATGGTGAGTTTTGAGATCGGGAAGTGTGAGTCCTCCCACTTTGCTTTTCTGTTTTGAGACTGTTCTGGCTATTCTGGGTTCCCTGAATTTCCATATGAAATTTAAGATCAGCTTCTCAATTTCTGTTGCCTTGGTTTTAAAAGAGATCTAAGGGTCTTGAAGTGGGCAACAGTCTCTAGGAACCAGACTCTTGTTTTTCCTCTTCCAAACCCGCTTTCGCTTAGTCTCACCTGTCTCCGTTAATGGCAACTTCACTCTTCCAGGTGCTCAGGCTAAACACCCCAGGGTCACCCCGATTCTTTTCTTTCTCTCACACTCCACATCTAGTCCCTCAGCAGATCTCATTGGTTCTATTTTGAGTCTATACCTAGGATAGGAAATTTCCACAGTTTCCCCTGCTTCCACCAAGTTCCTTTCACTTCTGTCGCCTGGATTACTCAAAAGCCTCCTACAGGGCCACTCTGCTTCCACCCTCACCACTCTACAGTCTGTTCTCAACGCAGCAGCCAGAGTCAATTATGTCTCTCACTCCGGTGCTCAAAGCTCTCCAGTGGCTTTTTATCTCAGAAGGAAACCAAAGTCCTTACTGTGGCCTGCAGTCCCCTTACATGGTGTGGGGGGCTTCATCTTCTATCACTCCCCTCTTTTCACACTCTGCTTCAGCCACGCCTCAGGACCTTTGTATTTGCTGTTTCCTCTGCCTGGAATGTTCTTCCTTCAGATGTCTGCACAGCTTACTCACTCATTTCTTTCAAGTCAAAAGTCATTTCTTTAGAGATGCCTTCTTGTACCATCCCATCTAAAATAGCATCCTTCACCCCCCACCCCCGCCCTGCCCCATCATTTTCTTCCCCTTTCCCTTGCCTTATTTTTCTTTAGAGTATTTATAGCACTTACTGTCATCACACACACACACACACACACACACACACACACACACACACAGATGTTGTACACGACATCTATCTCCTATTGGTGGAATACAAGCTCCATGAAGGTCAGGAATTTGTCTTGTTCACTATGGTGGGCATAGCACCTAGAATGGTTTCCGGCACATATTAAGCCCTAAAAAATCATGTTGAGTGAATGAAAAGGGAATGAGAGGCTGAGAAATGGGGATCACTCTGCTATTTCTTTCTCACTCTTCTTCCCACTTTATCCGAGAAGCAATGTCCATAGCTATACCACAACTCCTAAATCTCTCCTCTTCTATTCTCCTATTTTCCTCAAGATAATGGCCTTACCCTCCTTGGAAAGGGAAAGGTCAAACAAGCAGAAAGGTGAGGACTTTGGGTCCTTCCCACCGTGGCAGTGGGCAGACCTCTTCTCTGGGTGGGGGCATTCAGCATGTGTCTCCAGTGATTCGGTCTCTTGTGCTGATCTAGGGAGAGAGTGAAATCCCTTGGAAATTTGAGAAAATGGAATTTCATTTCCTAATGAATATTTTGCAGTACAGTGAATTTAATCTTTTTCTGACTTCTAACTGAAATTGCCAGTTCTGAGACTCATTTTGGCCTTTAATGACGTGACGACTTTAGGCTGTCAGCTGATTATGTGTACGTGGCCTTAGACAAAAAAAGAAGTGTTCAATAAACTCTTGCTGAATGTACCCATAAGTTAATGAATAAACTTGGATTTGTTTTCCTCATTAGAAACCTCTAGTCCATATATTTAATTTTTCTTAGTGTATAGATATAAGTATCTGGTCTCAGTCCACCTCATCCTGCTGCTCCTGATAGAGCAATATTGGCAACAGTTGAGAGGGGTTTCCTGCGGACCTCTCTCAGTGAGAATTGAATTAACTGGCCCAGACAGCACAGTAATCAATCTTCTGTGTTATTTTGAAAACTGAACTAGCCTTCCATCGTTATTTAAACTTATCTTGGAATGTGCCCTGTCTATATCTTCACTACAAACTATGAAAAAGGATTATTTTTACGTACATGGAATATATATATATATTTTTCTCTCTAATAAATTATGATAGGCTTGATACCACCTGAAAAACCAAACAGGGCTCACATATTTAAAGTGTGAGTCCGTAATTAACTGGATGGGTGGGAGAATCCCTCTCACAATGTATATGTATATCAAATCACCATGATATACACTTTAAACATCTTACAATTTTATATGTCAATTATGCCTCAATAAAGCTGGCCCACAATAAAAAAAAAAAAATGTGATCCCCTAGGCAGCAAGATTGTCTTGCCATTGTTAGAACAAGATTGCCTTCTGAAGAGAGGAATTTTTCCCTTTCACTGCCTTCGCTTTTTATACTGTGTGCAGGTTTTGCTTGGATCATATTTATTCCTCTGCCTCTTGGTCAGGAAGTTCCAGTTTATGGTCTGGTTTCCCTTAAGCTGATTATCTTGGGAGCAGACCGTGAGCACTGAGTTGGAGGAAGAGATAAAGGGTTTGTAATTAACTTTATGTCCAGAGGGTGAGAGGTGTGGAGCTGTGAGCATCCAGCTCGTTTTGGCCTCCTGTCTGGTTGTGCAGCACACCACATTGTTTTTCTTGTATGATTGAGGTCTACTAACACTCATATTTCATTTACTGTTAAAGAAAACTTGATGCCTCACTTACTCAAAAGAAATGTTGAAAGTTATTCTTCCTTGCCTGTTTTTGTTTTGTTTTTTGCCTCTTTGTATGTTACCCATGAGAAGGCCTCCCATTTGGTGCCTCAGCCACGCTTGGCACCACCCACAAATATGAAATCGGACTTTTGAGTCTTGAAATTGAACTTTTAACGTGGGGTCAGAGGTAGGGTGCCAGATTTAGCAAATTGGAAAAAAAAAAGAAATTTGCATTTTGGATGACCAACAACTAATATTTTACTATAAGTATGTCCCATGCAATATTTGGGACATACTTATGCTAAAAAATTAGTTGTTTTTATGAAAGGCAAAATCAACTGGTGTCTTGAATCTAATCTGGTAACCCTGGTTTGGTAAACCTAGGTTTATGCACAGGGAATGCATTGATCATGATAATGTCCAAAGAACGACTGAGCTATGGCTCACTTTGCTGATTGCACATGTGTCCATCTTAAGGAAGGAGAGGGCTTGTAAACTCAAGGAGTATTAGAACTAGAAGGAAGTAGAAGATTATCTTACTCTAGTGTTTGGTAGTTAAGGAAATTTTTATCCAGAGATGTTAAGTCATTTTCTAAGATCACACAGTTAGTAGCAGAGCCAGAACCGGAACTCTGGGTCCAGTGGTTGGTCTCCTACATAATGTCTGCCCTTAAGAGATCATGTGTAAGTTGCTTATGTTTTTGTGCTGACCTTTAATCACTTCTTTTGCCACCCTCCCATGATCGCTCCATTCTCCTGCTGTCCTTCCAGTCCCTAGATCCGTTATGTGGCAGGCAAAGCCA